TTGTACAATATAGTAGGAAGAGCCCAACAAAACAGGAAGGGAGGTGACAAGACTGCCACATAGGGAAGGAAAGCTAAGCACATGTGCTGTCAATGTAAATAAGACACGTGCATGAAACACACAGTTGTCATGTGTGCAGACTGCCTTAGGGATGGATGTGGGCATGGAACATGCAGCTGTCACGTGTGCAGACCACCTTAGGGATGGACGTGGGCATGGAACACGCAGCTGTCACGTGTGCAGACCACCTTAGGGATAGATGTGTGCATGGAACATGCAGTTGTCATGTGTGCAGACTGCCTTACGCGTGATAATAGAAGTAAAGATATTTTTTGTTGTGTGCTATTGGTATTTTCATAATATTTCACATAGAAACTTACTTCTGATATTTTTTATACTTTGTACACCAAAAACCAGTTAATATTGAACATTTATATGCTTTTTTATAAACAACAAATATTAAAAACAATACTTCTGTGATTTTTTTCCTGTTAGGTATTCATTATTTAATAAAACTCATAAAATTATAATTAGTAATTCATCAACAGAAATACTCTGAAGAATAAACATGGGTCTGATAGACCCACAATTATATACCTTGATGACAAGACCACAGGTTAATGACTTAATTAAGCACCACGGGGTTTGCTGCCTTGTCCAGGGCAGCCCAAGGGAAGGAATGCCTTCCCCTTTCCTACCTTTAGAACACATCCCTCTCCATGGACCCCTTCCCGTGGACTGCTGCCCATGGACTCCTGCCTATTCCTTCCTCCCAGCCTTCCTCCCCAACGTGGTCAACACTTCTGCACCCCTTGTGCTGAGTCCAGCATGCCCTGGGCAGGCCCTACTCACTGGAGGCTAGCAACCATGCCTGCCACCCTCGTTCTCCTAAGCTGGCAAGAACTGCATGTCCATGACAACTGCATGTTCCAGGAGAACTGCTCTGGGGTCTGTGGAGCCAGCTCTCCACCAGGGTCTGACTCCTGGCCCTCAGCCAATGAGCATGATCTCCATCAGGTCAGTTCTCCTCAGCCTCCTCATCTGGAAGGTCACACCGAGATTAGAGGAGGTAATGGTGATTTGGGCCACTGGGCAGGGTCTAAGTCTGTCCCTCGCCTCCGTGACATCTATTGCCTACTATCACCAAAAAGCTCAGCACTTAATCGCCAGCCCTTGATGGTTACACAAATCAGTGCATTAACCAACGTATAGATCGACGGACTCCTTCATGAGGAGATCATAGATGATGGACTCCTTCTGGCTTCAATTACATCTCAGCTCCGACCTCGAATTTCCTTCTCTATAAAATTGGTTGGGATTCACTAGAAAATACCTTAGCTTCCCATACAACTCTGAGCCTAGGAACTGTAATAAAGGGTAAAACATTATTTGTCCTTTGTGAAATTTTAGTCAAGGCAAGTAGGAAGGTAAAGATTCTTCCAGTGTCAAAGGGATGGCCCTACAGGATCCTCCTGGCAAGACCAGCTCGCATTTCCTGACGGATGCAAGACTCCAGGCAGCAAGCAAGCTCCAGACACAGAACATGCGTTACTGGTGATGCGGAGCACTGTGAGGTCTGTTATCAAGGGCTTCCTTGAGGACTTCAGAGAGCCACGCAGTCCTCTGTAGCCTGCGCCTACCCCAGCCTTCTCCTCATCCCACCTGAGCAAGATGCACTAGGACCGCTCGCCCACTCCGAATCCAGCTGAGTTCCTATCCCCAGGTCTGCCCAAAGCTCCGGCATGCATATTTTATGATCTCTAGCATATTTCCTCCTCATCTGACATCCTGCAGTGCCTCCCTCTGCCACCTATATCAGCTCTATCTTTGGTAAGAACATTCCTGAAAAAGGTATGCATCCTTGGGCTGTATGCTACCATGCGAGCTCTGCCTAGCTTGTCTCCACACCTGGGCTAGGAATTCCTTAAGAACAGAGACTAGTCTCTCTTCTCTACCGGTTCCCACAAGACCAACGATAGTGCAGCATACAGTGCACACTCTTCAAGGATACTGCCGAGTGAATAAATGAATGAAACAACTAAGTGATTTGCATTTTAAAATTAAAAGTCATATTAACATATTTCCAGGACAAAGTTACCAAGATCTCCCCTTTGGGCAACAAATTAAATCAGAATAAATTAAATTTTCAAATGACATTTCTATGCATGTACTATTCTCTTAAAAATAACAAGCCCCTTCACTGTACCATCAATGAGAGTAGTGTTATCAGCTGCACTAGAAATCTGATTTTCTGTTGTCTATGTCTTACCGCAACATCACCTTTTTTCCTAATAAAGGTAGACTTCACCTAGCACTAGGGAGGATGAAAGGTCAATCACCCCTTTAGGTCAGTTATTCAAGTTGCTGAAGCTCAGAGTTCAGGGAAATCAGAACAAGGGAGGGCCATTTCCTTTAAATAATTTCCTTAAATGAGCTGGGTGAAGTGGCAAACCCCTGGAATCCCAGCCCTCTACAAGACTGAGATAGGAGAATCACAAATTTGGATCCAATCTGAGCAACTCAGTAACTTAAAGAGACACTGTCTCAAAATTAAAAGTAAAAGAAGTTGGGGGTATAGTTCAGTGAGAAGGTACTGGGTTTAACCCCCAATACTATAAGGGGGGAAAAAAGAAGTAATTTGTTTAAATATGTTGCTAGGGGGCCAGGGATATGGCTCAGTAGAATAAGCACTTGCCTGGCAAGTGCAAGGGCCTGAGTTCGATCCCCCATTCAGGGGGGTGGCAGGGGAAGCTAAATGTGTTGCTGACTAGACCACAACATCTTTGGGAAATCTCTGGGACTAAGTCCAACTCTAGTCACATTCCACCCTTGTGGCTTACTAAATTTCTCCTGATACCACACTGACTTCCATGCACTTGCTGGCCAAGGCTGGGTACTGAGTAAAACTCGGCCAAGAGTTATCCCATCACTGCTGGAGGGAAAACAGCTTCGCAAGAAAGCTTGACCCTGCTTACTGCTGTCAGTCTCATTAGGCTCTCCAACTGGAGAGATGATCTAACCATCTTCACTAGTTAGAAGAAATCTTTTTTTCTTTTTTGGCAGCATTGGGGATTGAACCCAGGGCCTCAGACATGCTAGTGAGTACTCTGACATTGAGTTACACCTCCAACCCCAGAAATCATTATTCTTTCATATGAACATAATGTTACATCATCAAAAATGATTTTGGTATTACTGGAAAACTGTGTACGGCTGCAGGGGTAATAGTGCACTTAAGACTCAATGAACGAGGATTGTCTGAGACCTGAATAAACTGCAGAAATAGGTAATTAGTGTTGAGGAGGGCTGTGAATGGATGGTAACTGAGTACTTTCCTGCTGACATGAAACCACAAGAGAACACACGCTACCAGATGCTGCAGTGAGGGGCCTGAGAAAGCACAGTAAAATGCTCAGTAAAAAGAATAATTCACTTTGAGGCTAACAAGCACTCTGTTCAAACAAAAGGAACTCCACAAAATGTTTTCAGAACTGACAAACATTTTAAAGCTATGGCACACTTCAGAGCAACTCACCAAACTCTTTCCTTTTGCAGGCGAAAAACTCAGGCAGAGATGAACAACTAATCTAAACTTAGGTCGCTCACCAGCATCCACCCTTAAAGTTCAGTCTCTCAATTTTAGTTCTAAGTGAAAAACACTGCACTAAGTTTAAAAATTAAAAAGGTGCAGTGCAGGCATTTTGCCCTACCGAGAGGACAAGCCAAGAGCCAGACTTGCTGGATTCGACTTGCCCATGTCGCTTAGGCTTACAACTATAAAGCATCCCTCCTGCAACCGTTAAAATGCTAGTGGAAAACCTGTTTACGAGGCAAGTTCAGGGTGCAATCAAAAGCCTTACAGCATTCCTATAAGGAGGTGCACCTCAATACATCTATCCATGACACATGACAGGTCTCTGAACACACCAAGCGAAAGCTCACTGGGGAGACCCACGCAAGACAGGTATGACTAAGCAATCCCATATTACAAAAACACCAGGAACTGGCCAGGAGTTTGAGGAGGAGAACATGGCTGCGTATAAAGGTGAGCTGGAAGTTCCCACCTATTGTTACAGTGTGGGGGACGAGGGGGGAGCCTTGGGTGGAAGGATTTTCAAACAATGTTTTACTCCATCCTGCACCCCACCCCACCCACCGTGGGACCATCTCGCTGAGCTAACTGGGCAGTCAATTAATTGGACAGACCAACTCCAAACAGTCAATACGGCAGGCACCTCATTACACATCAGGAAGTTGCTTGAAATAGTTTCTCTCTTGGTTAAGGAAACCCAAGTTACAATAACCCTAAGCTACCAGGGTCTCACAGTGGGCTGTCAAATACACTACTGATTTTTTCTTTAAAACCTAACATTTCTGCCTATTCAACTTACTTTAAAACAAAACAAAACAAAACACCAACTTCCTAAAACATTCAATATCCACCAAACAGAAGGGCTAAAAATAGAGGTCAGGACTCCTAGGTTCCTAAGATGCAATTTAGCACACCACGGGGCACGCATTTGCATATAGACGTAAAATATTTACAGTGCCTTAAGCAAAAAAAAGTGACTCCACAAACATCCCTCGGAACAAGACACACCCGGGGTGCGGAGCTCGGCGCTCAGGCAGGGAGAGGAATAAATGTTCGGGTGGCCGGGAAGCAGGGCGGAGCGCGGACCGACCGCACCTGAACTTGTTCAGTGGGGCCAGGCGGCAGAGCCGGCAGCCCCAGCCCCGGCTCCGGCACGGACCAGCGGACCGAAGGCTCCGGACCGGGGCGCCCCGACGCCCGGCAGCGGCCGGGTCCCCCAGCCTCGCGCCAGCAGCCGGGCGCCGGCTCCTTCTCCCCACCGCGCCGCGGGACCCCGACCCGACATCCTCCTCGGCCGGTTCGCCGCGGGCCCGGCGTGACAGGTCGCTCCGACCACCTGCCGGGAGTGGACCCCGCCCTGCACGACGCCGCCCCGCAGGGCACGGCCGCGGGACCCTGCCCCACTCACCGCCACCGAGCCCGAGGACGAGGCGACGAACACGCGGACACCCATCCTCGCTGCGCAGACCGACTCTGCGCGCGTTCCCCGGCCGCGCTCGGCTCCTCCCGCCCGTTCGAGGAGGGGGCGGGGCGGGGGCGGGGCGCAGACTCGCGGGGCCCGACGGGAGTTGTAGTCCCGACCCTCACGGCGCGGCCGGAGGGCGGGGCTCCCGAGAGCCCCTACTGCGCGCGCGGGCTGCTGCTGAGGGGACCTGGACCCCGGGGATCCCGGGCTTCGTCGCGACTCGGGCCTCCTGGCTCGAGTCCCGGCCCACGGCTGCGCCAGGGCCCTGGTGTGCAGCGTCGGGGACCCGAGCGTTCGGGGCTCCCTGGGGAGTGCGCACCTGGAGGCCGGACAAAGGCGACCCTTGTAGGTAAACGAGAGGTTTCCCCTTTTCTGTGGACGCTGAAAATGAGAGACCCAGAGGAGGACACAACCGAGATTTTATTTTCTTAGCCGAACTGTAACTGTAGGAGAAAAAATACCGACCGAAATGGAGCCTATCAACGCGGGGAATCAGACCCCGCCCGCGCGTCACAGCGCACAATGGCTCGGCTCCCCCCACACTCCCGCCCCAGCCCCACCCTGCCCAGGGGCGCCTGAGCTTGCTCGTGGACGGAGCCGCCGCGGCGTGCAGCAGATGCTCGGGCTCCCTGCGGTCCTCTGTTTCCTGTCTTCTTGCAGCAGGGGAGCTTAGCAGGAGAGCGATGTTAATTGATGATCCCAGGAAGAAAGGCATTAGATGACTCGGTTTCTGGCTCTTTGGAAAAGTTCTTGGAAAAATACGGGTCATTTGAGAGAGAGAATTTGAAAACATGATATTGAATGTTTCAAATAATTTTGTACAATAATGCATAGGCCTTATTTTCTTTTAGTTTTCAAAGTATTTAAGTTTTGCTATGATTAACATTCTTTATACTTTTAATTTTACCACCATAAATGTGGAAATGGGTGCTTAAAATTAAGATAATTTTCATAAAAACAGACATATTTCCCACATAATACAAGTCTTTTATAGTTTTCTCTTTGTACGGGGGATCAAACTCAGAACCTTGGGCTTGCCAGGCAAGCACTTAGGCCTGCTAAGGTATCTCCTTACTCCTACAAGTCTTTATAGAAGTCAGCATTTCCTTTATTTTGGAATTATATAGCTGAAGATTTAAAAACAAAACAAAACAAAACATTTGAACTCAGAGCCTCCCTAGATCTTAGAGTAGCCAGAAAGCTACCTACTCCTTTTGGTCAGCAGAGCCCCCATTGCCCGCAAAGCTGGCCTTTCATAAATGGGATCTTTTTTTTTTTTTTTTTTTTTTTTTTGGTGGAACCGGGAATTGAACTCGGGCCCTTGTGCTTGCCAGAGAAGCACTTATTCTACTGAGCCATCTCCCTGACCCTTTATTTATTTTTTCATAGATGGGACTTTCAAGAGTAGTACAGTCCTGGGGCACATGGTGCAAGGTGATCTGCAGAGTGTGTGGGGGCTGGTTTTGCTCAGAAATAGAGAAGCTGCCCAGGGACTGTTCAGGGCAGGGAGGCACGCATGGATCCCCACCCCGTGTCTCCTGAGGCTGTTTCTCTTCTCTGGTCCTATAGAGGTAGGGCAGTGTCCCCAGGTCCCTTTCACACAGCTGCATGTGTGTGTGTGCGTGCGCGCTCAATTAATAGCTTGATTTTTCTACGCTGAAGGAAAAAGTTAACCTGTAGGACTGTTATGTAAGACAAAGCCTGCTAGCAGTCCGGGAGCAACCCAGCCAGGCAAGCCTGGAGCTGGGACCAAGAGTTAGCCTGTGGATAGAGTAATGGAGAAGTGAAAGCAATCTGGGATGTAAAGTAGAGACCCAAGCCCAGCACCTGGGTGTCTCAGAGGATTTGATCCCAGTCTGACGAAGTCTGCAAATAGAGAAGGCAATTGAAAAGTATAGGTGGCCTTAGAAACCAAGGGGTCTGTAGGCTTTAAAAAGGCTCCTGCTGTGTTCCCTGAGACTTGATCCCCTCTCCAAGCCTCAGGAGACTCCTGGTAATCTTTTCACATAGCATTGAGTTCCCCCTTGACTTTTTCTTTGAGGTGTGGGAGGAAGGGAAAGTCCAGGAACCCTTTAGCAACCTGGTGATGTCCACTGACTCCCTGAAAAACATGTCCAATGCTGCATTAAAAAACAAGACTTGTTGGAATTGCAAAGAAATGTTGGACATTGAATCAAGCAACAGTTGTGGGGAGGGGCATAGTGGAGACTGAACCCAGAGCCTTTGCACTGAGCTTCATCCCCCAGATGTTTTTAATTTGTGAGATAGCGTCTTCCTAAACTGCTGAGTTGCCAAGATTGGGCTCCTTCTTGCCAACCCCATCATGTTTGCTACATGCAGGTATGTGTGTGTGTTTTGAAGGCATGAGATATAAAAGTCTAGTGGGAGATCAAATAGCCACCCTGATTTTGAAGTAGTAATGGGAAGAAATACATTTTAATATATACTATATTCCTAACAATATGAAAATACCAATGATGTCTACTAGTAGCGAAGTGATTATCTTGGTTGCTTTCTTTCACTGCTTAGATGAAATACATGACAGAGTTAAAGAAGGAGCAATTTATTTAGCTTGCAAGTTGTAAAGGTTTCTGTCTAGCTCATGGCTGCACAGCAGACAGGCATGGAAGAGGAGAAACAGTTCATCGTGGCAGAAGACAGCAAAGCAAGCAAGCAACAAGAGCAACTTCTTTCTGTTGCTGTTATATTCCATCCAGGCTACCTGCCTTCTGCCCTCAGGGTGGGTAGCACTCGCACCCAGAACAGTGCTAAGCCAGCCAGTGGACTGACTCAGTAACCACACGCCCTTGATCCCAGCATCACACACTCTAGACCTGGCCCCCTCCGAAAGAGGCCCATCTATGACTGCAGGAGGTTTGAGAGGGACAGCTAGACAGAAGCTGTAACAATCATGTTGTTCTTGCAGTGGTTTATTGCATTCATAATTGATGGACTTGGTAATTTTGGCTAGCGGTTAGTGAAAATATAGAGTTTATTTAATCATTTAAATCCATAAACTCTAAATTCATCCACGAGTCTCTTAGGACAGGAGCCTGGGGAGAGGGAGGGAGCCCAAGTTAGGAAATCATGATATCTAAAGTACCCAAATTGGGCCGGGGAGATGGCTCAGTCGGATAAGCACTTGCCTGGCAAGCGCAAGGGCCTGAGTTCAACCCCGGGTTCTGCCAAAATAATAATAATAATATAATAATAATAATAATAATGTATCCAAATCATAAAAAAGTATTTTCTACAAGAAAGTATGAAAGAGCCAGAGCCTGGAACGGAGAACACAGAGCACAAAGGAGCAGTCACAACTCTTCAAATTCAAGACTGAGTTAGCTCATGTAAGAGAAGAGTTCCAGACGTCACACAGTAGACGGCAGCTAGCATTGCTAATCGCCATAGGAAACAGGAGACAGGGCTGACTAGCCAGTAGCTAAAGCAAGGTGCTCCTGCATCTGGGCACAGATGTTCAGTCCACATCTGGGTGCTTGCCCCTGCGTGACGTGTCACAGCTGGGAAGTCATTTATGACCTGCATGACCAGGCTTAAAATGCTGGTCCACTTAGATCTTTTTCAGGAATCTGCAGTCAGAACTTGAAGACAAAAGCAGCTGGGAGAGGCAGTAACAAAAAATGCTGTGAGGGGGCGAGCCGGGATCTTCATACCACACTAGCTCCTCAGCCTCCTTCATTTTTATTTCTGGCCTGCTTCAGCCTCCTGGAGTGCTGTGACTACAGGTATGTGTCACCACGCCTAGCTGCCCTATTCTTTTCTTTTTTTCCTTTTTCCTAGTACCAGGGATCAAACTCAGGACCTTGTGCTTGCCAGGCAGGCATCTAAGCCACTGAGCTATCTCCCTAGCCCTAGGTGCTGTGTTCTTAGCTGCACTTAAACCATCCCTGTCTAGCTCCCAAAGGAGATCAGTTTTTGAGGAACCTTGTGGTCACCACATGGGCCCTCTCCCTGTCCCTGCCCTGCTATAAGTGTTTGCTTCTCCAGAAGCAGAGCTGGTAGTTGCACTGTTAGGGAGTGACAGATTTGTGGGAAAGCAGGAATGGGGTGGGGGCTAAGAAATGGGCCTTGGAGGCTGCGCTGAGGAATTTGACCTCAGACAGATGGCTCCACTTGCCAAGTTCATCTGCCTCGAGTAGGGAGGCTTTATGGAGATGACGCGTGGTGGGGTTTTTTTCCACACAGTTCCTGACACAAAGGCTTCATTCAATAATGGCTTTTGTTTTGTTTTGTTTGAAGCTGTCTTCTGTGTTGCCAGACTGGTTTTGAACTCATGGCCTTGAATTGTTGCAGGCAGCTAAATTAGAAATATTATAGGCAGTCAGATGGGTCCAGGCCCTCAGGGAGACAGTATGGAATATAACTTTGCAACTTTGGGAGTGACAGAAACCCCTACTGCGGGCTGGACTTCAAGTCAAAAGGGTAAACAAATGCAGCCACATGCTTCCCTAGGAATGGGCAGCAAGGATTGATACTCTAAATAGGAATCAATCACCTGGAAGCCAGAGACAGTCACTGACCCAACAGCCTACAGGAAAAGCCCTTGTTCTGTATTCGTGCCTGCTTGCTATGTGACTCCTTCCCCATTTGGTCCTGGATCTATACTTGAGCAATTGCTTGTAATCTCATTAGTTGACCATAATTGTTTTTTTTTTTTTTTTTTTTTTGCAGAACCAGGGATTGAACTCAGGCCCTTGTGCTTGCCAGGCAAGAGCTTATTCTACTGAGCTATCTCCCCAGCCCCGGTTGACCATAGTTTTGTCCCACCTCATGCCCACCTAAGCGAGTTCCCATGTTTTCCACCTTAGACCTGCCTTACCACATAGTTTTACTTCATAAAAATCCCTGAAAGAGACAGATTCAGGGTCAGCCTGCTCGGATCCCCTTTGTCCCTCTCTTGGACAGGAGATTTCTTTCCCCCAATAAATATATTCTGTACTTAACCTTAGTTGTTCCTAAAATTTATTCTTCAGTTTTAGAGAACACAAACTTGGCCCAGGTTCCTGTCAGGCTGG